AAAACATCTTCATTTATGCTATGCAATTGAGTTCGGTTTGAAACTCTTCTGTCAAGACACTGGCCCACCAATTTGGCGGGCAGAACATCTCCGGAGCTGTTTTAGCACTGTCAAAATATGCCTTTTGCCCCAGCCTTGCCCAATGCTCTTTCCAAGGGGAGGGCGAGTGGGGCACGAGCCCCAGAAAGAACAACAGGGCCTGGAAAAAATGTTTTGAGGATGGAGCCATAAAGGAGCCATCACAGAGCCTACCAGGAGATTTAAAACAATGTGTCAGATAAGGCAGCTTAGGTGAGGCAGGCACCAAGCTTCAGGGCTGCAGAGAAAACAATGGCCCAGCCTGGCCCAGCCGTGGAGGCAGAGAGGATGGTGGCTCTGCCCAGCCTGAAACAAAAGACAGATTCCCAGAGAAAGGGCAGGGCAAGGTGGATCAAGGAGGTAGCCCAAGCCAAGAGCAGCCTAGTCAAACTGGAAAAGAGAAAGATTATCTGGAAGCTGTACTCACAGAGGCAGGAAAACTAATGGGCAAACATCCCAGGCTGCTTCTCCTTACACAACAAGTAAGACAAACACTTACGAGTAAAGTAGTAACACAAAACTTACCTAAGCTATAGCCAAAGGAGGTTAACTGCAGAAACACAAATACACGTGCACATTTGGTATTTTAAAACAACTTCTAACTGCTGTGTAGCTTTTGGGAGGAAATAAATCATTTTGTTTCAAAAAACTCTCCTTACAGTCACTTGAATCCACTTTGTCACGTGACACCAGAAGAGCTTGAGGGTTGTCGAGGTTCCTGTCAACCTGGTTGGGAATGAGGGAGTCCTGGGAGCGGTTATCTCAGGATGGCCCCAGCAAGAGGAGTAAGTTGCAGAATTGCACCTCAGGAGGGGCAGAAACCTCTTCAGCATAAGGCTGGCATAAAGGAAGATTAAGAGGAGGCAGAAGGGCTCCCCTCTCATGAAACCGGAGCCCAGAAGCCTTGAAGACTTCACTCATTCCTAAAGAAGCAGCGTCAAGGCACAACATCTGGTTTTCCATCTCTTCTTTGCTTTTCCCCAGTATTTTTCCCTTGCATGCCAAGCTCCCAGGTTGTGCGAGCAGCTTCCTTCTGTTCATTAATTCTCATGCCAAAAGCATGCTTTTCCAGTACACGTGTCAGTTCCCAGTAGTGCTAAACCTTAACAATTACTAGGATGGTCAAAATCCACACAGATGAAGATTTCATTGGGTTATCTTTGCAGCCAACAGAGGCAGGCTTTAAGCATTTGGCAGCTCAGACAGTCGAGACACCACATACACATCTTCTCTCTGCAGCAGAGCCAGCATTCCCAGATCTAGCAAACAGTGAGGTATCGCTTCAAAATCAAGTGTGAATTTTCCAGCTTATTTTTTAATAGCATATTAAAATAGCATAATATTGTTAAGAATAACATTTGCAGTTTCTCCTTCAGTGGGTTGGGATTCATGCAAAGAGGACGTTATAGAGGTGACAAATACAACAGAAAAGCCAAAGCACAGATTATAGCTGTGAAACAGTCTCATTTTCTCTTTGGACAAAGCCGTAAGTCCAGAGATCATGATGCTTCAAATCACTGCACAGAAGCTATTAGCACTTGTGGGAGTCTGGCCCAAGTCACCATCAACAAGTAGCCAGACCTGTGCGGCTGTCTGAAACTCTTATTTGTAAAGAGTCTACAAAACCAGTAGTAGCCGTTTCCAAACTAAACAACGGGGATGCTGGACTTCTTTCCATGGCTCCGTCTTTCCCACTCCCAGCCACAAATAGACTGTACTCACAAAGGCACTGGGAGGCCACCAGGCAAAAAGTCACAGAAAGCAAGTCTTTCACTAGAAACAGCAAGAATGCCTTTTGGGAAGGAGAAATCCTGATCCTGAAAAATGGCTGATACTACACCACTTACTGCTTCTTCCTAGTCCTGATTTTTTTCCTCTCCTCTGCACGTATACTTTCACTGCTTTTTCTCCCCTCTGCTCTCCTTTTCAGCTGCAGGACTTGTGTCTCCATTTCACCCAACCCACCTCCAGCTCCACGGCCACCCTGCCTGCGCTCCCGTACACCATCCCACACACATGGCTTCACTGTTCGGCTCGCGGCCGCAGGTTGCAAATCCCCCTTGAACGCTACCTCCACAGAGCCGATGGGAGTACGAGGGACACTCTCCTGCACCCCCCCCTGCCACTTTCTCCCCATCCCTTCTCCCTTGCTCTGGCACAGAGAGCAGCTCCTCTCTGCCTGCAACGTATACTACAGCACCGGCCAGTGGGAGCAGGAGGAACTACAGGAAAAGGCCACGCAAAACCTACCTAGAGCCTCCCCTTGCAGGCTCCCATTCGTCTTTTCCACACACACCCCACGACGGCTCATAATAAGTATTTATTTGTGCACATACGCGAGCGTACAAGAGGAGGGCTGAGAGGGTAGGCCTAGCTACAGCTATTCCTCTATAACTTAATTTGTTCAACCAAGGAGAAACACTCATACTAAGATAGAAGCAAGGATATTAAAAAGTGAGACTGGTGCAGCAAACGGTCTGTTATATTTGCTCAGACAGGCAGAAATACATGCTAGATATGGACTATTTGCTATACACTGTAAATGAGTTTAGTGTTCAATCACCACCTTTGGCATTTCTTTTTTGGGAGGCTGACAGAGAAACATTTTCCTTGACATTTCAGCTCGTTAAAATATTGCCAACTCTGCAGAAATAATTTACTCTTGATGGACACAGTATTGCTGTTAGACTCATTACTTTAGCAACCTACCAGAAACAAAGGGTAAAGACCTGAATAAATCACAACAAATGAAAATACTGTTAGCAGTTTCATAATTTAATGAAAAAGTACTTGTAAAAAGGGGACATCTGAAAAAGACCGAGTCCATCTTGGAAAATTGAATATATATATATATTTATATATAAAACAAAATGCAAAAACACAAAAAAAAGACAAATAAGGTTAAGAGGTAATACTTCAAACAGTTAGCCACCGAACACACAATAAAAACTAGCAAATGCACGTTGGGGACAATACTTGAGAACTACATAACCAAGGGCTCCTTCATATATCTATTAAAATCATGTAAAAATTAGCAAAACCATTGCCCAGACTGGAAACAACTGAATTAATGACCCCAGAAGAGCAGAAATGCTGAGTTTTGCTGAAGCACCATTTTCCCTCCCCTCTGCTATACACTTCTGGTCATGAAACAACATGAATGCTTTGCTGACCTCCCAAGTTAAGTGTTCCTTCCCAAAATAAGCTCCATAAATTTTCATGACCAATAAGAGGATTACTAATAAATACTGAAGGAGAACTAAGAGAATCAGAACTGGAATACAAATGAACGGACATTTGTTTACTTATTCTGAACGTCCCATGGCTTAGAACACAGAGCATTTCCCATTAAAATAAAGCAGGTGGAAACCTAAAATGCTACTGCATATTTACACCAAAAGAAATAATTTTGAAGGTACAGCTCTAGAAAGACAAATTACACAAATATACATAAAACCAAGAAGTGAAAAAAAATTAAGCAAATATTGCATGAAGCAAATAGAGCAGAACTGCCAAGTATACTTCTTTTTTTTTTATTTCACTACTGAAAAGTCTTCCAGCACCTGACCTGCTAGTCCTATTGCGACTATGGAGATTTCAAAATTTTAAACAAATCTAAGAATGCTGTTGCCATTTCCCAAACTAAAAGCAATAAAATAAGTTAAGGTTATGAAGGAAACCAAGTTGTCTTTTGGATTCTGCATAGTCATCTTTACATTGGGTGGTGAACCTTTCCTGTATCGATAAAATGAAACCCCCAACAGAAAGGGGCTATTTGGTACGGCCTATACAACCTCTGTCCTATTTCACCCAGTGAGGTGGGGACAAAAGATTTTGCATATTTATGAAATGTACAGCATTTCAGAAAAAAACAGGGCAGTTACTTTGTTGATCAATACAACACATTTTGGAAATCAGGTTTATTTGTATTCAAGCAAAAATCCTGTGTCATATCAACAAACAGAAAAGGATTCTCCTCCCCTCTTGCTTCCTCAAGACTGGTTAAAATTTAAATACTAGTTAACAACTGCTGATTTTAAAATAGGTAATAAGAGTTTTAGTTTGGGAAATAGCAAGTGATCCAGAGGTTGGTAAGCAGCTTAATGTAATCACAGATCTTCAGCAATTAAAAAAAAAAAAAGAAAAAGAAAAAGAAAAAGGTATTCCAAATGATGACTGGCCAAAATTTTACAGACCTAGATGCCAGAAATAAGACTCATAAACCTAGGCTCTTATTTAGGCAACTAGGTTTGAAAATTTATGCCCACATAAAAAGGTCTGACAAAATTATTTCTATTTCAGCTTATTTCGAAAGCACCAGGTTCAAACACCTCTGGACATGAAATCTGAGTTTCAAGAGGAACCTGGCATCACCGGTGATTGCCTAAGTTTAAGTGTCAAATAGCAATTTGCTTTGAAGTAGTACATCTACTTTTGTAAACACTATCCACAAAATTAGCCATCTGTACTTGTTAGCTGGGTAAAATATTTACAAGTGCATCCCACAACAAGCAACTATGTACAGAGATTAAAAAAACTGAAGTACTAGAAGTTGTATATTTACAAAATAAGCAAATTATTGTGAAGAGAAACACAACCTTCAGCAAGAGCAGGGAACGGGGGCACATCTAGAGGTCAGTGAGTTTGGCAGCACTGGCAATACCTGCTTCCGACCCTCCACAAGGAGCCTGCGAATGCCACCGCGGCTCTAAACCTCCCACAGAACAGGATCCTCACTCAGTAGTCACTTCGGGCCTGATCCAGCAGAGCACCCCAACACATGCTCTGAGATCCAAGCTCAGTCTGGTTCCCAAAGAAACCAACAGGACTTCACGTGCCTAATTTTCTAACATACGCTTAAGTGCGTTGCTGGATCAAAGCCATACTGCAGGTACCCTAAGAATACAGTTTCAATGTCTGCATTTGCAGTCTCCTGCAACGCATTACTGAGTAGCGCAAGGACCCCTTTAAAAGCTGTCCACTGCCACAAAACTGCCGTAACATGAACGTGTTGCCTTACACAAAAGCTGGCAAGGAGGAAGCAGCGTCCTGAATTTATGCAAAGGTTAACTGCTTCGTACTTTCCCAGATGTTAACCTCTAATAAAACATATCAGTTTCTACACGACTTTGCAGTAACTCCATTAACCTTCCAAAGACTGTAAGCCAATTCACAGTTGAACAAAACTGCTCCAATTTCTCTCCCAGCCCCCATCCCCTACTGCAATTCTTCCTAATGTAGGTCCTGTACTGTTTTCTGGAACCTTTTGATGCTGAGCTTTGCACAGGTACACTGGATTACACAGAAGCTGAATTACCCCGTAGGGGCTTCTAATCACCTTTGTACTGAACCGTGAGAAATGATATTTTTTTTGTTTCTATTGTGACAATCTCTTCCAAAATCCTTAGTGGGACTTTCTCTCTCTGAGCTACTTCGCCGTAGCCTCACTTGCTCTTTATTTTCATCACTTTCTGCTTCAGAGTCACTCAACTCTAGATCGGGACAGTACCCGTCATTGTCCTGGTACGGAGCACCTTCAAGTGCCTGCTTGCTCCACAAGCGATCTTTTGTAGCAAGTCTTCTTGTTGGCTTTTCACAGCACCGGAGGTCTTCTGTGGTCCTTACCAAACTGTTGGTAGCCTCTTTAAAGGACCGGCTGAAATGTTCTATAGTGGATTTCCTAAAACCACTCTGGCTGGCCAAATGAGCCGTAAGCACAGACTCTTGTTCATAAGGCGTCTGGCTAGAGCTGTCTCTCTGGCTTACGTCTCCAGCCCTGCCCATCAAACCATTGGACTTGGCAGCCAGCCTCGAGTTCTCCTGCTGCATCCTCCCATTCCCAATGGAAGCCTGGCCATGCAGAGCAGCTTGAAGTGCTAAGGGTTTCCCAGTGGGCTGGCCCCGGTGAAACTCTGGCATCGGCACAGGGCCAGAATCCTTTGCTTCGCTCCTAGGCTTGCCGATACCTCCCAGCAACCCGTTACTTCGGTTGTCGTGCTGATACCTGGAGTAAGACTTTGCTTTTATTTCAAACGATTCCTTTGACATCTGTATGCTCCTTTTGCTGTAGACAGTGCTATTGTTATCAGGAGAAAGCGGTCTGTTGCCAGGCTTCAGTGAGTTATTCCTGCAATCTCCTAGTGCCGATTTGGGCATTTTTAGCTTCAGGGTGATCCTGGGAGGTGGGTAGAACAGCGTGTTCTCTAGTGCACTTGTCAGGGTATGGCCTATAGGAGAAAAAGGGGAGGAGGGCAGAAAAAGTAAAGACTTTTTTTCAAAAACAAACAAACAATCGATCATTTTGTTATCTGTAACAAGTTTTACAGTCCATTAGAAGCATATTCCATAATAAGGAGCATTTGCAAAAAATTAGTGTGAAATTATTTTAGGACATGAAAGTCATGAAAGTCAAAACTGTTCTAAATTATCTGTCATTTCAGAATTTAGGTACGCATCTTAGCATTTCCATTAAAAAACAACAACGTGCCCTTTTAAATCCACCCTGAAAAAAAACCCAGCAAATTGAACCAGTTTTGAGATATAACTGAAGTAGTTCCAACAAAACTATTAAAAAACGGTTCAGATTCAGTTTTGGATAGAGAAAAAACAATGCTTCAAACTGAGTTTTAGTTTGGACTTAGTTCAACTCTCTGCTTTGTATTTTAAAATTCTCTACTCTTTCAAAGGCTTTTCATCCCAATGCTTTAGAGTCTTCACGATAACATACATCTATATCGCCACTGCAAAGTGGCTCTCAAGCTCTTCTAATAAGCTTTAAAAAACACTTGTATTTGTAAAGATACAAAAAAAATTATTTAATAGACATTTCTAATAAAATATACTTACATAAAACCACACATTTTAAGAGTACTGTTGCTTCCACAAAATACTATTCTGATCTAAAACAGTTAAAAAAAAAAAAAAGTGTCTGTACTAATGAAACCCATTTTGATGGCCAGAGGAGTACAGACATCACTCTGAACAAACTAATTATAAAAAATACAATATGCATCTTGAATGAAAATCAAGATTTTAATTTCATATAGCAGAAATAGCTACCTTCCTATTAGAAAATAATCACACCGTAACATATACTCTTCCTGTCTTCAAATGTTGTGCTCCTTCTTTTAGGACGCTTGCTAGAAAAATTAAGTGCAGCGTCAGTTTTGGTACATCAGCAGTCACTGTTCACTATTAAAAAAAAAAAAAGTACGTAAAACCTTTTTAAAGGAAGGATAGTAACTGCAGATCACAAGCTGAGGAATTCCTCTTTGCACTGTTCATCAGGCACTCAAGCCAATACCAGAACAACAATTTCTATCAGTCACTCTCTTCACTTTCACCTGAAGAAATTAACAACTGACAGCCAGGAAAAAAAACAGTTAAAAAACAGTATAGGGCTTGCTGTGGGGGGGAACAGTACAACAGCCCCATGAAGAAAAAGTCTAGACATCACCACCACTTCCTCTCTGTGTGCCATGGACTAGATGATCTCCAGAGGTCTCTTCCAAACTCAGCCGTTCTGTGATTCATAGTAACTGATAACTAAGCAGCATATACCAAAAATACTCACGAAAGAAGAAACATCCAAGTAAATATTTTAGAAGATTAAGACATTTTGTGCATGTTGCTGATTTAATTGACTAGATAATTGCAGAGGATTTTTCAAGGTAGACTTAAACATGTTAAAAAAAACTGTGTAGTGTCATAAAGAAATATAGTTTAAATGCATTTTACTTTTATATGATTACCTGCAGCAATTTCCTGATTAATGAGCTGGACTTGCAAATTGAAGACCTGTTCATGTACTTTACTGTGAGACAACTTTAGTTTCTCCCTCCTGCTTACCATATAGCAGAGATTTCTTACCTACAGAGATAGTAACAAGAGACAATAGAAACAAACAAAAATATTGTATGTGTAAAACCTCGTGGAAAAGATCTTAGGAATATTACTGAACATATGAAACAATCACCTAGAGTGGGCGGGGTGGGGGAAAGAAAAGCAGTTCCTGCATTTTTTTTTTTTTTTAAAACATCAATTTAAGGAATGCCTTGAATATATTCTGCAAGACCGTGGACTACATTTCCATCTATTAGAGCAAGCAAACAAAATTCCAGTCAAAAGAAAAACAACTTTCAAAGACTTTCTCATCTGTAAAACTGCTTCCACTACATACTACACTGGGGATGTTATGGTAGGCGATACTAGATTCTCCCAGAATTTCCATGCAAAATGCTTCATAGAGTGATTTATTTTGCATTACAGTGCGGCACAATTCTACTTTCAACTGTCCATTTTAGTTGATAGCTGCAGTTTTTCCACCTAATGCAATGAAAACAGGAACAAGCACTGAAAGATCTTGATAAAGACCTGAAAGAGCTTGCAGAACAGCAAAGCAACATATAGGTTGGCTGAAAGGTATTTTCCAAATGCACTTCTCCCAGCATTTAATCAAATCTAGCTGTTCAAAAACTGGAACCTCTCTCCCCAGAAAGGAAATTCCAAGATTCCAAAATTGTTTTCAGCCCAGCACATAACTAAGTGAAAAAATCTTGCAGCGCAAGTTCAGAAAATTTTAGCCAAGCATTTCAAACTATGAAGAACCTCCACTGACAATATGTAAGTCGATTTCAACAAAGTTTGAATTAAATCAATAACTCTTCTAATACAAAGAAAAAGATGAAGTGTTTTTTTTGGAAAAAAAAAAAACACCTATTCCAAGCGTGTTACGATTTTTTTTTTTTTTCCCCCAATAAGGATCCATATCCAAAGTGGTCCTGGAAAAGGAGGTCTGAGCTCAACTTTTGACTAGACTAAACAGAAGAATTCGACTGACAAGTGAAAGACCCCGGTCCAACACTCACCTGCTTGTGTTTTCATGATCTGTCTTCTCTCCCCACTATTTTTTTTCCCTTTTCCTACAACACTACTTTCTCTCTCCTATTTTTCCTTCCCCTCTCTTCCCCAATGTCTCAACACCACATTTAGCATGCCCAGTTTACATTGTTACCTTCTCTACATTTACTGTCTCTAAGTGCTTGAAAAGTACAGGTGATCACCAGCCAACAGACTGAACTAATGGGCAGCCTCCAAGTGGTAACAAGGCTGGCTCCCTCCCCATCAGCTGCCCAGGAAAGGCAAACTGTATGGATTTATAAGAAATTCCTACCCTGGATTTTGCTCAAAGACTCCACCTTTTGAAATTATTTCCTAGCTGGCAATCTAATACACCTAAGAGCGCAGCCAACTACTGATAGAAAGATATTTTCCCTCTCATTCTACTCAGCAAAGCCACAAGCTGTAGTAGACTTAGTGGGTTGCTTTCAGACCGACTACAGCACCTAAGGCAGAGCTATGTGCAGTTAAAGCATCTAGTTCAAGAGAGCGAGGAGCGATTCAGCCTGGCCACTGCCTAGCATTAGCAGACACTGGCACGCTAGCGAAGAGAGGTGAACCTGACTCCTGAATCAGATGTCATGGGCAGCATTCATCTTTTTTCCAGTGTGGAGCCAGGACTTGCCGCACAAGTTAACCATCTCGGATTTTACCTAATTACCTTCATGGGGGTGAGAAGATCTGTTTGGATTTAATATATATTTCAGGATTCCGCAAAAGCTTATGTCACACTTAGAGAATACTTATTGCTTCCCTGAAGCAAACTCGTTTTTCCTAATCCAGAACTGGCCAACAGGATCTGTGTGTCTGGAATGTGTAAGAGTATCACTAGCAACTACTACAACTGGTTCAAATAAACACCTACTGAACATTTACTCAACTGAAGATGAAAGCAAAGAGTCGATTCGCAAATACGTCCACTGTGCATAGAAACATGCATCTTAAAATATATAAAGGGGACACCTGTAAGCAAGTCAGGAAGCACTGTTTACATATTGAATCTGTGACTGGAGTGAGAAGGGACAGCTCCTGAAAGTCTCTGCAGCAGGCAATGACAGCGTATCACAAGATTGCAGGTGAAGGCCTCTGAAGGCCTTACATATATACATACATATATATGTGTGTATATATATGTATATGTATGTTTTTTAAGTCATCTCCCCTTGCTTCTCCCATTCCCATTTTTATCCTTGTCCATGGACAAAGGCTTCGCTCACCTGCAGATATTTTTTCAAACCTTTACCACTTAAACTCTTACCCTCTCTAGGTCCTGCCTCAAATGCATGAACATCCTCATGCGAGTATGAATGCTATCTTCTTTTGGCTGCACCAAGCCATTTTCTTCATCCTCCTTGGGAGGAAACAAGGGTTTGTTAAAGTTACTTTTTCGCTTTAATTTCCAGTAATTGTAGATGAAGTCTACAGCAAGTTTAGGTAGGCCCAGTTCTGCTGCAACATCCTCCACTTTAACTAGTGAGTAAAACTCTTCTTCCAGCTCGCGGAGTTTTTGGGCTCGCAAACTAGTTTTCTCACTCTCAGTTTGCTTCTGGTCTGACACATTCTTGGGATGCTCATCGATGTCAGGCAGAGAATTCTGTTTGTTTTTGCTGTGCTTTAGACAGTACGACTTGAACTTGACCTCGTCCCCATCATCCAGGATAGTTTTCATCTCTAAGCTATGCTCAAAGGCACAGGTGACATGAAAGGCAGTGATGCAGCTTTTCACAGAGCACTACGAGTGAAGGAAACAAAATAAGTCACCAATAGTAGCAACAAATCAGAAAAAAAGAACAGAATCACCTTAATTGTATAAAAGCCCATTCCTACAAAAACATTTCTTAAGTACTATTAAAAATATCTATTGCTCTCTCAAGTTGGTTTAATCTGATTTGGAAAAAAATGGGTTACGGTCCAATATTTCCTCCTTCTTTCAGAACAGCTGCATGTTGCTTCAAATGCAATGTCTAAAACGTGTATTTTCCCATTTGTCAACAGAGGGCTCAACAGAGGGGACCACTCAACCCATCTCTGACTTGCATACTAGCCACGCTTACACATCTTCACAGCTTTAGTCAAAGAAGGCAACTCAGACTAACTCCGAAGTCTCTATGCTCTAGGGTGCCTAGTGAACTAATGTGAAGAGCATAAACAGCTATGAGGACACAGGCGGCTATCCAAAGTTATCTTCATTATTAAGCATCTCTGAACACAGGAAGAACAGAATTCAGAAGCTAAATTCCCCTCCTCATATAGGCTCAAGAGTCACTACAGGACAAACACATACCTGAATGCAAGCACCAGTTTTCAGTTTGCATAAACTACATACTAAAGCCCATCGACTTGGTGGAATGTGAGACACCTTTGTGATCGGTTCCATCCTCTCTGGACAAGCAATGCTAACCTGTTTAAGAAAAAAAAAAAAAAACAACACAGCATGGAAAGCATTTATTGAGGCAGTTAAAATAAACTAGCCATTAATACAAGAAGAAGAAATATAACCACACATTTATCTCATCGAAAGATCTCCATGTGCTCATACTTCTTAGCAAATGACACTGAAAGATCCCACATGAAAAAATGCTGTGGCATACCTACTGGTTTAACCTGGTTGCTAGAAACTGTTTTCATCAAAACATTTAAGGCATCTACAGTGTGCCTGGTTACGAGTCAGTTAAAAGACTGCAGTAAGTTACTGTTAAGTTTGTTTGCTTTCAACTTTGTATTTTTCTGAGCTGTTTTAACAGCTTCAACTTAGCACGTATCAAAATACAAAGTAATCCAGAAGGAAACAGGAGTATTTCCTCATACTTACCTGGAAAGTTTCTCCTCTGTTTAAGATCCACAGATCCACTACAATAGCTGGCAGAAGCCAGTTCACAGTCTGGGGCAGAACCAGATTATCAGGCAGCAGCCAGGGAAAGCCTAGCTTGCCTGCGTTCCCTCTACTGAGCACTCCCAATGAAAGAGGTGATTCTAATACACTTCTCTAACTACAAATCGCATGAAGTATAATTTGAAAGAGAATACAACAAACTTCTCTTACTGCAAAGCACGGTATATTCTTGTGTGCCAGTTTTCACGTACTTATTCTGGATGATCCATTTGTCTCTGGTGGACCAGATTATGGATATTAAGACTAAAAGAAAGAAAAAAATTTCAGATAAGCACAGATATCTTCTCCTCGTCTTTGCTGCACTAAGGTCCATGTATCCATTGTGACAGAAATTTCTCAGTTGTCTGCTATGCTACCCATACTGGGAAACAGAACTATCCTTCATATACAGGCACCAAAACGGAGGTAAATGATCCTCTGGCATCCCAGCAGCACTCCTGAGAGACAGGATGTATCCAAGTGCAAGAACAGAACTGGGCAGCTCTGAATGGTCAACGTTCAGAACCGGGCCAACACCAAAATGAAGGCCATGTGGCAGACGTTTTCAGAGAGAACTACTCTGCCAGTCCCCAGAAGTTTGGATTTTGATGCTTACACAAAGGAGGAACGCTTCCTGAATTGAGAGGTTGTGCGCTAAGGAGGACCACCTGCATATAAAGTACAATACTGATTCTGGCTAAGAAAATCCCCACACTTCGTATGAGCAATTCACCTGAACAGAGCAGACCCCATTATGACTAATATTTCCAATGGATGGGAGAGATCCCAGAGTTCAAAGAAAGGAGATTCGTAGGTCATGCTCTGTGGCACCTGTGAGGTCAGAATAAAGTTGATTCCTTAAGAAAGCAGTTAAGGCTGAGATTTGAACAGCAATATTTTTCTAGAACACTTTACAAGCACCTATACTACAGCCTTTTTCACAGACTGTTCTTCCAACCTCCACAGTAAGACTCTCCTAGGAAAATCTAATTATACAAATTAGTTCAACATCTGATAATTAAACTATCACCTTTACAAGAGCCAATAACCTAGCTGAACTTCCTAGCTTTGCTTCTGGGGCACATGAGCCATCACCTGATGCAAGTATTCATTTTAGAGCCTATTTAATTCCAGAGGAAGGACAGTCTTTGTTTCAGGAGACTGTGAAGCAGATGTTCCCTAAGACAGCAATAATACACTGATCGAGCCTAGGAGTCATACAGCTGCTATGCTCAAACTGAGTACTATTGCTACTCTGTCATTCTCATTTTTCGCAGTGCTCTGAGAATCAGTTAAAATGGTGGAAAATATAGCTTCACAAGAGGATACCTGCTTTACCATTTCCACATTAAAAAAAAGGCCGATTACCAGTTCATAGGTTAGCGACGGAAGCTGACGCAAATAAGATGTTTATTTGTTATACTATTTCACTCTCCAATCCCCAAGCTGCTTCCCTATCTTCTGGGATATCCTGAGGTCAGCCTGGTGCTGCATGGCATTTCCACTCAGCCCAGCCACAGGCACAAGTGACTGTCCCGAACTCAGTGATCCAGGAGGCCTGATACTGGCTCCGAGT